TCAAGACTGGAAGAGGGGAGAATCAGGTTGAGACATTAGGAGGAAACTCTTTCCTGTGAGGGTGGTGAGGCGCTGGCACAGGTTACCCAGATAAACTGTGGCTGCCCCTTCCCTAGAAGTGTTCAAGGCCAGGTTGGACGGGGCTTTGAGCAACCTGGTCTCATGGGAGGTGGTCCTGCCCATGCAGGGGGGCTGGAACTTCATGATCTTCATGGTCCTTTCCAGTTCAAACCCTTCTATGATTCTATGATTTTTCTCAGCAGAGATATCTTATTTCTCTCATTTGGATTCTATCAGAAGTGTTGACCCTTCCCCATTGCTCTTTCAGGCATTACACTCTTAAGTCTTAGTTTGTCTCTGGGCCACATTCTTGAAAGAAAACGTAGAAGAAAACCGGACGGAACCAGTGACAGCAGTGTGGGCTCCTATCATGGGGCCTTGCTTTTTGGGGCGCTGCTGCTGGAGCAAGGGTGGAGCTGGGGCTATAATAAAAATAGTAATAACAATAATAACAACAATACAAATAAAAATAAAAGAATAATAATAAGAGCATCCCTATCTCCCCAGCCTTCTCCCCCCGAGCCTCCAGAGGGGAACACTGCCCAGAAGGGGGTGAGCACTAAGCCTTGCCGGGGAGAGGGGCCGGGGGGGGATGCGCCTCTGGCTTCGGTGCCGGCCGTGCCCCTCTGATGCTCCGTCATAGGCTTGGATTCGGGGGTTATCTTTGAATGTTGTGGGGTTTTTAATAGGAGAAACGGGGGTGGTTTATGCCGAAAGGAAGGACAAACGGAAGCGTCCTTCCCGGGCTGCGGGATGCCCCGGGAGTGCTGCGGTGGCAGCTGATGGAGCGGGTGCTCCCCAGAGCTGGCATTCCCGAAGGGATGCGCGGGCCGTGTTACATAACCCGCAGCGCTCCGGGAAGCTTTCGGCCGGATTTAGGGGGGGGCGGGCTCTGCCCTGTGGGTTTTGGTGCAGCCGGGAGCCTCCTCTCCGCTTTTCTGGTTGTGTAAGAGTTGAGAGGCAGCGTTTACCCGTGCTCTTCAGTGTTTCAGGCTGCCGTGGTCACTGAAGCCAGGCCGGTTCGCTCCCTTCTGTCAGTGATGCCTGTCACTTGTTTATGCTTCTTCCATCCAAAACCAGGCAGGAGCAGTCATGTTCAAAAAGTCGCCTGAAACTAGTCTTTTGATCTGAGGACAGGATTAATAAAATCAGCTGGCAAAGAGAGAAGCAAGCAGCAATTTACTGATCCTCATGGATAACATTTATGCTAGATGTCCATCTTCCCCCTGGTCGTGCACTTTCTGGATGCTGTGCTTGCCCTTCTCCTATTGATCACCAGCTCTCTGCCAGTCCTTTGCCATACTGCTGGAGTTGCACTGCTCTGTGTGATTCCCTGTACGTGCCTCTCCCTCCTGCCCGTGTGTGTCCCCCCAGGGAGTGCCCACAGCACCGTGTCCCTGCCATGCTGGTGGTGCAGCAGGTGGTTTCCACCTGCAGCTAAAGCCCTGGTGTGGCAGGCAACAAGGGTGCCTTTGCTCACAGGGCAGGTAAGCCTTACACTAAGATGGTGAAATCTTTGTGGTCACCCCCTTTTTGGTCCTTTATTTGCTTCACGTTTTTCTTCTTACTCTGTTCCCCCATTCTGTCTCTATGAGCTTTTCCCACCTTCATTTCCCACAGGTATCCACCCTGCTCTGTCCCTATCTGCTCCCTCTCTGTGCCCTATTTCTTACTTCATCTTTCCCCAAGTCCTGCCATTCAGGGTAGCTCACTGTGGAGAACTGCAGCCCCACAGCCCCAACCTGCCTCTGCTTTCTCTCTCTTTTCTGTGTTTTTTTGCTTGGCATTGTCACTTTCTCTCAGAAGACTGCACTTGCCTTGGACTCCTGCTGTCTCTGTTTACCACTACCTATTCATGTTTTCCATCTTATTACCCTACTTACCCATGAAGGGGCATTTATCTTTCTTTCTCACTGTTGATACACGTGAATTTTCTCTCCTCTTCCACTACCTTTTGGACTTCTCTTTTTCTTCTCTTTTTCTGTCTGCATATTGTCCCTCTTCTCTCATCTTTAAGATAACTTATTAAGAACAGCAACTCTTCCTCTTCAGCTGTTACTCCACTGTGACCTGCCTCTTTTCTGCAAAGAGCAAGTCAAAGGCAGGGTAAGGAGCAGAAGGTGCTGATCACAGCATTTAAATGATACTTACCTCCTCAGTATTCCTCAGATAGCACATATAGTTACATTATTGCCTTTTATTTTTTCTGTATTCCTGCACAGAAACAGCCTTGTCAGATTTATAAGATTCCTACAGGCCATTTTTTAATAGTTTTTTTTTGCTAGATGTCAGTACAGCATGAATATAATACCAGCTTTTCATCTTTGGCTCTCATAAAAGCATGTAAACAAATTGAACTGAGTAACAGAGCCAGAGTTTGAACTAATGCTTTAGAGATCTTGATGAAGTGGAGGAAGTTGTATCCTGAAAGTTGCTGATGCTGGAGCAAATGACATAATGAAACATGTTATTTTCACCAAAGCTATTAGCTAATCACTTTTTTTTTTTTTTCCCCCCCTCTCTCACATGTTCATTATGTTTCATTCCCAAACTCTCAATGCTGAGGGTCAGTTGTTTATTTTAAGGAGATTTTAGGACCAGCTTAATAATAAGAACTACATGAATTTGCATGATCTCTTGAAATTCAGTATAATCTCTCCTGAAGAAGTATCTGATGATATAAGATTGAATTCATAAATGGAAAACAGCAGTAAAAGCTTTTGGCATATTCTGCAATGTAAAACCCATTTATTGGTCAAAAAATAATCAATTAATTATTGCTCCCCAAAGCAGTGTTTTACATTTTGCCTGCTAGTGATTTCAGCATTGCTGGTATCACCTGCAAATCAAGAGCACAGAGGTAGAAATCCTTGGTTTGAAAGCAGAAGAGCAGTTGCCACATGGTGCTCCTTGAAGTTGTCCTTGTAGTGTGCCCAAGTTGTTCTTATGATTTGGCACATTCCTTTTGTGTTAGCAGGTAAAATTACTGTTACTCCTTTCATTACTCAGATCACTCAGATTACTGCTTGCTTTTTTTATCTAATTACTTCATCATTGATGGTCTTAAGTGTGCTGTATACTCTGGTTTTATAGAAGGAATCCCCAGCCACGCAGAGGCATGAGGGGAAAGTACAAGCACTGATAGCAGTCATTCCTAAGTGGGTCAAAAGCATAAGTGGGAAAAACCTGATTTCATGTCCTTGATGCATGTGAGAATTCTTCCATACCTTGGATCTGATCCCAAGTATGAGGACAACTTTGCAGGAGAGTTACTGTAGGAATTGCAGGGAGGGGAAAAAAAACCAAAGAGATAGGAATTTATGACTGAAGGCTGAAGACTTTGGACTTCTACTTCCAGGGTAGGGTGACACCAGTAACATAGTTCTTCTTGCACGTAAACTGATGGAAGCAGGTAAATAGTTTCTGAATGTTGATTCCAGTTCCTGCCTACCTAATTGCTAAAGGTATTGCTGTATGGTAGGCATCATAAACTGCAGTCACATTGCTACTGTACCCTCACAGTGACAACCAGGCTGGATGAAATAAATCTTTTCCTCTTTGGATATATTGCCGTACCCCAAAGCTTTCTAAAACTCTTAGGGAGAGGGTGAGACAATCAAAGGTGAGGAATTAGTTTCCCATGCTGTCAGATCTAAACATCATTCTTTTGCAGCAGCTTTCTGCTGAATACCATAAGAAAGATATTAAGACAATGTTCCTAGCTATGGGCTTTATTAATAATTATCTGCCTGATAAATAAAAGCAAAAAGGGCAACACAGGCCACTGTGTGTTTAGGTCAATTGTTTTTACATAAACTTCTACTGGTTGTAAGGGTAAAGACAGAAAAACACTACTGCCTTGCCAGCAAGGAGAGTGTCATCTGCTAGCTCTAGTCTGATCAACATTATCTACAGAGTCATCAAGGGAAATGTATTAGCTGTAAAAGGAAGATTGGAATTTAGCCTGTTGTGCTTGCAAATTTTTTTCTGGTACAAGACACATCACTATCAATTTATGGGAAGTGTATTATAATTTATGGAATAGTTGAAACCGCTCCTGTCTGAAGCAGCAGACAGTTTTCCAAACTATGAATATGAAAAATGCAACCCATGGAAAGTGCTTAGAGTGATGGATCTGGGATAGATTCACCCAGGATTGGTCTTCTGTCTGCTGGTTTCTGTGAGGTTTATTACTCACATGTCAGTGAAGGAAGCAATTTAAGCTCCACTCTATCTGTGCATTTTAAGTATCAACCATAAAACCGTTCAGTCCTGATTCTCTACCACATTTCATGTGGCCATTGACATTTAGAGGCAGAGAAGTGTGTATGACGTTTTCTGAAGCAGAATTATTGCCCTTTATATCTACCCTGCACACTCTCTGGGTTATCCTGAAGACAGGATTTACTGGAGACCAAGGCCTCTGGGTATTGTTGACACTGTTTCGGTCTGAGGTGACTATCAGTGAAATGATGCTTTACCAAACTGTTGGTGGTTTGGGGCCTTATTAAAAAATCAGTATCATGAGCCTGCTGTGGCCATCACAGCATTGTTTCCCCTCCAAACTTGGCATTTTGGCAGCTGCCTGCATGGGTCAGAAAGGGAGGTCAGGAGTGAAGTCTGTGTCTTTTTTTGCTGCACTGTCCTCCTCCTATGCTGGGGCAGTGATAATTTGCTCCTATCCAGAAGTCACAGTGTCAGGTTTTTTTTCTAGGATTAAGAAAGCCTCAAAAGAGTATTGTATTGCTACCAATTTGTGTAACACTAGCCTGTGTTACCTAAATGTCAGAGTTTCCCAATTTTGCCTTATATACTGCCTTGCATACTTAGTAAAGATGGGCTGAGAGAGTTGGGGTTAGGCCTGGAGAAGGCCCCAGGGACCTACAGGAAAGCTGGGAAGGGGCTTTTTAAAAGGGCATGTAGGGATAATATGAGCGGTAATGGCTTTAAACTGGAAAATGGTAAATTTAGATCAGACATCAGCAAGAAATTCTTTCCTCTGAGGGTGGTGAGGCACTGGCACAGGTTGCCCAGGGAAGTTGTGGCTGCCCCTTCCCTGGAAGTGTTCAAGGGCAGGTTGGATGGGGCTGTGAGCAGCCTGGTCTAGTGGGAAGTGTCTTTGTTCATGCAGGGGGGTTGGAACTACATGATCTTTAAGATCCATTCCAACCCAAACCATTCTGTGATTCTGTGATGATTCTAAATGAATCTGTAGATCTATAAAAAAGTAAGATTTGGGGGCTTTTTTTTTTTTTTCCCCCTAATATCATCCAGGAGATAACTCATGTGCTCACAGTTTCAGGGTGTTAATTCCAGGGAGGAGGCAGACCAAACAGCATGGGAGATGCATGAACAATATTTTTCTTGTACTGGGACTTGAAGTGCTGGAAAGAAGGAGATGGCAGAGAGATATCATGAAACCCAGGAGGATGTCCTGCAGCAGGACATGTCAGCAGGATGATTCAGCCTCTCATAACTGTGCCCAGCCCAACCCAGAAGTGGGCAATACAGGTACCAGTTAGTACATGGTTTTCTGTGGTGTCTCCCTGTGGATCCAGACTAACATTGTTGTCTCTTATTACGGAGCAAGCTAAGAGTCATAGGCTGCCATGGACACAGGGAAAACCTGAAACAACATGAGCATAGGGAGCCTGATCTCTTTTATTGCTCACAGAAATTAAATTAGCTTCCCTTCTGTGCTCTGGTTTTGAAAGAACAGAACACTAAGCTAAAAATTACCTCCTTTGAATACAAAATTTACATATGTGTGTTTGTCCAGTGCATCTTCCAAAGTGTTTGTTTCCTCTCCTTTTTTTTTTTTCTTTTCTTCCCCACCAGAAAGAAACACCACTTGCCAATGCTGCATTTTGGGCTGCAAGGAAAGGAAACCTGGCTCTCCTCCAGCTGCTGCTGAACAGTGGGCGAGTAGATGTGGACTGCAAAGACAGTGTATGCACATAAAGCACCTACAGCACACCCGCAGTACTGACTTTACATTGCTTTCCACAGCCCTTTGCACTGGGGGTGTGGCAGGGATCTAATGTGAGATGTTTGAGAGTCTTCTGGCACTTGGGGATGATTTAAAACGTTCTCTTGTCAGGAATCGAGTTTGAAACTCAAGATAAAAGTGCGTGATGATTGACATCAGTGGCAAGGGGTTAAGAATTTGCCAGCACTCAAAAATGTGTCTTACACATTTATTTGTGGTGGTGACACTCAAAACACAGATCCTAGCACCTGGGGCTTCTCGTTGCAAGGATATGTCATTGTAGTAATAGATCACAATGAAGAGTTGACTCAACTAAGCCCAAGTAGCAATGATTCTCTCAGCTAGCAGAGCTTCTCAGAGTTAGTTTTGAGGGTTTTTTAAATAACCCTTGAGCACAGTTTCTATTTAGGCAATGTAAAAGTTTGCATTTGTTGTGCATCTGTTCTCACTCTGTGATGTTGTGCACCCAGTGGTGCTGGCAGAAGAGCTGCCGGCCTCCTAATTTCTTCCTCCCCCCTCCCCAGTATCTCTTGGACTTGGCACCAACAGGAAAGCACAGGACAATTTCTGAGCAAAGAGGAGCCCAGAAACGTGACAGAAAGATTTCATGGAGACTTCCTTACTGTAATTGCCATGGGTTGAAGTTAGTTTTGAGATTGGAAATTAGTTGAAAACACAGATAATGGGTATGTCCTGCTATTCTGCCTGCAATACATGGAAAGATAAGCTATGGCAAAAAGCAGGGGAAAACCAAAGTTGAGAAGTTCCCAGGTTTCCTTGGTTCTGGGACTGACTTACTGAGAGTTATGCCTGTGTTATACAGGATTAGTGCCACTTCCAGCCTGAAGCATGAACCTGCTGCAGCTTCTCTCACTTTGAATACCTTCAAAGTGCAAGAGATCTTCTAAGCCTATTTACTTTAACCTGTCTTTTAATTTCCATTTCATTTTTGCTCTGTATGCAGCTATTTTCCTGCAGTACTTCTGGAGCTGATGCCATAAGTGTCATTCTGACAGGAAGACAAAGGATGTTTAGATGAGGGTATGATGTATGTATGAGAAAGATCAATGCAAAGAAATAAGGTCCCCTGCTCCTCACTTTTCCTCAAAATAAGGCTAACCTCAATCAAGCATTTTTAGAGTACATTTTAAAATATCCTGACTTATTAATTATATCAGGCTTACACATTTTCTACACTAAAATATTTTTGTACAAATAAGCTGCATGCTTCATTTTTGTAACGTCATACATTCCTTCTTTACATTGAACTAGTGTGTGTGAATGTTTTAGAAGGGTAGATTCCATCCTTATGCATGTGGTCCATAGACCACATACATATAACTTAAATCTCATTTGTTCCACTGGAGCAGTGACCTTATGGGGTACTGAGGGAACCTGATCACATAGTTCTGGTATGGGAAGTTCTCTCATACAGGATGAAGAATCACAGAGTGAGTTTGCTGTCATTATTTGGATAAGGAACTGGTATTAAATCACCCTGACCTTACTCCTGGCTATGACTCACAATTAAGTGACTCAGCTAAGTCACTCAGCTCCTGTGCCTAAGGTTATTCTTCTGGAAATTATTGTTGCTATTTTTGTTGGACTTATTTTGGGACAATAAGGAGAAGTCATAGCAGGCATATGTGTTGAATGGTCAGGCCTTAACACCACAGGCAAGTCTCTAATGTTTTTGCTTTAACACCTGCTAATTGCTTATTTGCAAAGTATTCTTCATAGTCAATTTGAAATGATGGTAGGTTTTCCAATGGTCATAAGCTTCCTTCAGCTTTTCAGAAGCTGTCTCTTCCAGGCAGCCTGATTCATTGCTGGACATGTCTGTTGAAGGTACTGACTTGTTTTTCCTTACTCCCAGCTGGGCACCACAGCTCTGATGGTAGCATCTTACTATGGCCACATAGATTGTGCACGGGAATTGGTGTTGCAAGGAGCAGATATCAATCTGCAGAGAGAGGTAGGAGAAGTTCTTCACTCAAACAGGGATTGATTAATTTTGTTAGAAGTAATGAGAATGTTGTCTGTTGCTTTTTGCCAACTGCTTATTTGTTATTTGCTATGTAGTGTGTGTAAAAACAGGGTCTGTTCTCCTGAGTACATAAAAGAACCAGATGTCTGGAGTTCATAAAATAAAATGAGATGCCAGGGGTACATTTGTAAATAATTCATCAAACATTTCTTACAGCCCTCTGGATGGAATACATTATAAAAATAAGTCTTTTCCCTTTTGATTTACAGAGTCTGGACATTAAAATGGAGCGGATGCCATTGCTAGCCCAGGGATTATTTTGTCTCTTTAATGCTTTAGAGTTTCTACCTGTTAGTTAGCTCAGAGTATACCCTTCCCTCCATCTGTGCTTTGCATTCAAGCTGTTTCTCCCACCACGACATGTTTGCTTGTGGAAAGAACATCAGTGGTTGGTTTCGGGAAAGTGCCTTCCCCTCATACTCCATGCTGAAGGTTGTAAGGAGCACCTGCAGCCACTCTGGTCTGTGTGCCAGCTACACAGACAGCAGAATTGCTCTGGAACCACCACAGTTGTACTGGTCCTAAGAGAAGAGCAGTGTAAGGAGGGCATGCAGTGCCATGGGATGGCAGCAGGCAGTGCAGGACAGCAGAATGCTTGTCTCTTCAACAGTACAAGGCAGTGATTCTCATTTTCCTTGGTTACCTGGAACTAGAGCATTAATCTCATGCTGACATCTGCAAGTTACTGAGTCAGTGAATGCCGTGTTCAATGACATAAGTGTCTTTGCATTTACTGGCCTAAACTTGCTCTAACTCTGATTGTCAGTGTCTTTCAGCGGGGTCCTGTTTCAACAAAATATGTATTTAAACCTGTCCCTTCCCTTAGGTAAACATGGCATGAAAAGCAGCAACAAAAGGAAAAGCTGAGAACAGTTTTATGGAACTGCTCTTGACATCACTCAGGATATTCTGATTCAGCAAGCCAACAAAAAGAGAAACAGTGACAGCCTCCAAAATCACTCTCTTGCAGATGGCATTTAAGCCCTAAAGATCAATGGCACTGTTCTGAAGCTAAACCCTTTCCTCCCTCTCCTCCCTCCCTTTCCCTCTCTTCCTTTCCTTTCTTTCTTACTTTCTTTTTTCTTTCCATCCAGCCATTACAATCTTGCACATTCATTTTTGGGGTCCTGATTTACTCACATGTTAAGGACAGTATTTTATACAGCTAGTATAAAATAGAGGAATTCAGTGAGTTAAGGAAAAGCAGGAGTTGCAGGGCTGATTATAGTTGCTTGAAGGCTGCCTGCCTGGCTGGGAACCTGCTGCTGCAAGAGGCAAGGATGACTTATGCCAACAGCAGTCACATTTTATCGGTGGAGAGTGAAGCAGGGTGGACCTCTGCTGTACTAATTCACCACCTCCCTCGTCTTCCTGCACCCTGATCCATCCCATGCTCTTATTTGTCTCAGATCGTATCACGAGCTAGAATAGGGATTGCTTTCAACTTGGCTGTTCTCTGTTATGCAAACCTGTTATTTTCTCATTCTGGGCTTGCTTTCACTATCTGGCTGCTGGGTGGAAGTGAGTGAATCCTGAGAGGTCTCTGTGCAGAAGCCCCTTGTGAAATTTGGATTTCACTCAAATGTATGATGCTGGAGAGATTTTTCAGTGCAATTGGAAGAAAGCTGACCTAAGATACCTGGTGTCCTCTGGAGTACTCAAAATCACCATGTCTTTTGAGCTGATACTCAACTGATTGTGCTCAATACTTTTTTTATTTGAAATGTATATACTTCAGTCAAGTGTCATACGTGTTTGGGGTTTTTTTTAATACATTTTTCTCTTACAGTCAGGTGCGACTTCTCTGTTCTTTGCTGCACAGCAAGGCCACAATGATATAGTGAAGTTTCTCTTTGAATTTGGAGCCTCCACTGAATTTAAGACTAAAGTAAGATGATGGGTCTATTTTTGCATGCTGATAGATTCTGACAATAAAGGCTGTTTTTTCTTATTCATATGAAACTTGGCATGGCAGCAGGAAGATGATAAAAGGATTTCCTGACTTGAAAGTTTTCTGAGTAATATGAGTAATGCAATGTATTCTGAAAATACTAATTTGAGACTAGCTTTTACTACCTAAACTTAACAGGATAAGTTGATCAAAGATCTGTCCCTTGATAGTGGTATCAGTCTTTTCTCCTACGCCATCTTCTGATACAAGAACAAAGAGTCTTTTTGTACATGTTAGGTAGGATCCCATTTTAGGTGTTTATGTACTTCACTCGTAAAGACTGAAATTTCATCTACATTGGGATGTCTCTGTCTACCACCATAAGATACATAAGAGTATAATGGCTTCAGTTCTCCCTAAATTCCCATTTGCCCATCTGTGACAAGAAGACAAAATGCACCTTGGCCCTTCTGTTTCTTTGTTCAGGCAGGTCCCTTTTCAAGATCTTAGAATAGCCAAAAGCACAGACAGCAGAGCCTGGGTCTGGTTCCTCACTCCTCATGGGGTGAGCAGGGTTAAGAACAGCAGTTCATCCCTGACATCAGCCCAGTTTCTTTGCCCAAGTTTCTTCTAGCACCTCTGCTTTCAGCAAATAGAACAAAAAGCAATATACTTGCATTAAATATCCTTGCCTTTGACATGCTGGCAACGTTTTGTAGTATTCCCATAATCTGGGGAGGACACTTGCCTGTCACTTGCCCTGGGATCCATAGCAATATGTTTGAAGTAGAAGCAACAGTTCTTCACCCCACAGTAACTAATTCTTCAAGATACTATAGTCTGTGATTTCAATGACTCACTGAACCCATACCTGCTTTCCAGAGTCCCTGGAAATACAGGCTTTAAATACTAAGGGAACTGGTGGAACATCAGAGACTCAGCTCCGTGTCCTCCACAGACTAAAAAACCTGAGGTTTTGTGGCCAGAGTCTGCACATGCCCATACAATAGGATTCTGGTACTCCAGGGAGGTGTGCTTGTGGTGAGCAACTGACCACAACAGCAATCAGTACATTTGAAAACATGACTGAAATTATGGCTGTTTAACACAGCATGCAGTGCAGCCATGAAAGTTGCCAATGTGGGAGGTTGCAAGGCTAAATACAACAGCTGGATTTTAAACTGCTGTATAATCTCACATGGGACAGAGTCACTGAGAGAAGCTGCATGTTAAAATAAGGGTTGCTTCTTAGTCTTTTATTTCAGAGTATAGATGAGGTTTAGCAAGATTCAGAAGGATTATAGTCTCTTCCTTTCAGCTGTGTACAATTGGGTGAATGAATTTACACTGTCCTTTGAGTTATCTGGCCTAGAAAAACCCCACAAAGCCATGCTGAAGGAGCAAAGGTGTTCCAGGCATAGGAAGAGCCTGGATTACTCACTGCAGGTAGCAGTTGGGCATTGTGTTTGCAGAGGGATGGTAAGTGGTAAATACAGGAAACTTGGTAAGAAGACAAAGGCTGAGTACCTTATTCTCTCTAGAGGGACAGTTAGATTTTCACCAAACCTTTCCACAGCTTGTGAGCTGAAAGTTTGTGAAGGGGCCAAGATTTGGCCGAAGTGAACAGCAGGCTTGAAATTGTCTGATTCTTTATGACAATATAAGATCTTTCATGAAGCATACAAAATATGTTGATATACATTACTTGGGCAGATAAAAGGGAGTAAAGATCTAAATAGAAAATATTCCTGCATTCAGCTGCTCCTAATGGCTTCCATCTTTAGGCAAATGCAAGTTTGGGGTCTAATGTTTGTCAGCTTGAAACTTAGCTCCCAACCCCCATATTCCTGCCTGCCTCCTCTTCTGAATTCAGACCTGACTTGGCCGATGTGCCAGTCCTAAGTATTCTTTAAGCTGCAGGTCGTTCTTCCTCTCCAGGCCACAGTTTTTCTCCCACCTCCAGTCAAGTTAGTTGTAAGACAACACCAACTCCCACAGGACACAACACAGCAAACTGGTGTGTGATGGGTATGTGAGGCTATTTTACAGCAGCATCAAATGTGCCTGTGCAAGCACCCCCTCCTTTTCACATCACCTCTTCAAAGGGTGTGTTGGTCACTTCAGCACTCACAGTATGGCACTAGCTGTAGTGTCTGAAAAGGCTCCTCAAAGCTGAACAAAAGATTGCTGAGTTAAAATTAGTCTGTGCAACATGAAAGTGACACTGGTTAACAAGTTGTTAGCTGTCATGTCCATGCTCTTTGCTGACAGGATCTTCTGTCTCTGAGTAATAGGATGAGAGCTTTGCATCATCATTGGTGCTGGGACCTGTCCTGGAAATTGCCATGTTCATTCTTTCACTCATTCCTTGCCTGGGGACTGCAGCTCTACCAAAATGAGCATCTAGACACAGGAATGCAAATACTTACAGCTCCTGAATTTTTAGACTGAGGCAGGGTGGGAAACAAACTTGTACTTTGTGCCACAGTGTGTACTTGAGCAGGAGGCACCAGTGAGAATGTACTGCCTTTACAGAGCACATCTTCCATTGGCATCCTAGCATGTTTTTTATTAATTCAATTTTCTGGTTTAATAATGTGGTTTTCATAGCTTGGAATTATTCCATCAGGTCATCGTTCTGTTAACAGGCTACTAAAATAACAGACTCCTCCATCCCCACCCCCCAAAACCCCAGAAACAACATTTGATGTGATATGTCTTTTCAGGTCATAGATAAAGCGTTTTCCAATTAAGACACTCAGTTGGGAGCAGAGCTGGAAAAGATACAGCTGATCCAGTCTATTTTTGAAGGGCAGTGCAAAATCAATCCATATGCAAAGAACTTTCTGCTGTTAATGAAGATGTGGATTTGAAAGAAGAAACCAAATTTATCCTAGGAAACAGAGATGTTAAAGCAAGGAAATGCAAATCCCAACATCATCTTTTTCATGTACTTCTCTGTAAACTGTAATTACTCATATTTGAGATAGCTTGAGAACTATCTTAATATACTCATTAAATTCTTGTTATCCCTTTTATCATTAGAGTTGGTATTCACTAAGACAGGCAAAGCAAGCATTCTAAAATAGTATAAAAAGTAATTAGCAATAGTTGCTGATGTTTTAAAGAGAGTAAGTACTACTATTAGAGGCTATTACCTATTTATTGTAAAATACATATTATTCAGTAATGTTATTCTGCACTGTCCCAATCTGGCATCCTTAGAAATATGCATCATAAGTTGAAACATGTTATTTTTTCTTAGTCTGTGACATGTTATAAGCACGTGGGTTCTTAAAAGGCTTTGTATGGTGGCATGTTTTCCAGGCAATATTGCAGGTTGGATGGTATGTCAGAGGCTACTTTTCAGTAGGTAGTGATTGCAGATGATCAGTTCCACTCCCCTGTATCGTATTTCAGAGATGATAAAACGCTGCTTAATTCTAAGGTGATGGCTTAATTCAGGCGATGATGGCAGAGGTGAAAGGAGAGGTAGGCAAATGGACAGGGAAGTCTACACCAGGTAGTGTGGTCTCATAAAGCTGCTGTTTCCAAGTGCTTACATGGGAGATGAAGCTGCTGCATGTGCTTCCAGAAGGGAGGACAGACTTCCTGTGAGTAAGAAAAATGGTTTCAGAGGAGGAATTGCAGAGGTAGCTGAGAGAGCTTTCTGAGCTGGAAGGGTTTGCAGTGAAGGATTAATGGAAGCTGCATAGTATCAGGAAAACTGGATATGAACAGAAATAAACCTGAGGCACTGTGCCTTCTCTCAGCTGCAGCACTGGCCTCCTGCACACTGCAAAAGGGTGATTGCCCCAGAAGTGCCTCTCTGGTTGCTTCAGGTGTCCCTACTTCCACTTGCTGCCCAGCTCAGAGTTTCCAGGAGGCTTGCTAGTACCAAAGATGCTGCTTCAGCTTTTCATTTGTCTCAGCTGAGGCCAAAAAGGAAAGAAGGGAATCACATGGCTGAAAGGGATTTTAAAACTCTGTCACTTACTATTTCTCTCTATATATATTTATATTTTTTTTCATAATTCATCTGCTTTTGCAATAGCCTGCAAACAGGGAGGTCTCCAGCTAGAATTTGCTCGTGGAAAGGATCTTACTCTGGCAAAAAGGGAAGGAAGAATAAGAGAAAGAAGACAGAAGCTCAAGAGGGGTGGGAGGATGCTGAGTTTTTCTCCACCTGAGAAACCATAGACCTTCACTCTGCCAATTACTCAATTTAACTGAGTGCTGTCTTAAAACATGGTCTTTTCAGTGAAAAGTATTCCCGGTCCCGAATTCCCTTCTCTTGCAGCAAGACCCATCTCTGTATCAGAGCATTCAAATGGATCTTGCTCTCTTCTTTTGAATGTATTCAGCTTCATAGGAGACACAGTAGAGCAGGTCTTACAGCCCAGTTTTCTTCCTGATCAAGGACCAGACCTTTGAGCCAAGAAGCTGCTACTCAGTTCTCTCTGGCCTGGTAAATATTTGATTCAGAGTGGGCAGCTACAGCTGGGGACTACCCAAAGCTTTTTTCTGATCCCTGGACTCTAATCTGTCAGAAGTGTCTCCCTTCTTAAACCTCAAGGTGTGACATGTCCCAGGGGGGAATCACACAGTTGGACTCCACACGTTGGGCTTCAGCTCTTCTGTGCTGACTGCCATTAGCTTTGCAGGCCTGCCTTGTATTTGGGACCTCTAGTTTGGTTCCCACCAGAAATTATGCTAAGAAATTATGTTATAACCCAGTCTTCCTAAAATAACAGGAGTTTGTTGAGAAGACCAGCATTTTAGAGAGTGAAAAACAGACTGTAAAGTAATAACTAACAAACTATTCCCATATGCAGCTAACTGAGCACACCTATTTACCCTCCATACAGGGAACCTCAGTACTTCTAAGCCTCCTAGAAATTGTTCTTCCCTGCCTTTCCACAAAGGACCTCCAATCTGGACAGTACAGTTTATCTTCTTAACTCACTAACCTTTCTGTCTCTCTTTTCTTCAGGGAAAG